CTCAAAAGAGCCCCAGAAGGTGGTGATTTTGCCCCCTCTGGCCTTCAGGGGGTCTGGGCAAGCCTCCAAAGTGTCCTAGGTTGTGTTCCATAAGACAGACCTCTCCATAAGGCTTACCAATTTTTATGAGAAGAAAACAGATTTTTTTCCTGTTTTCTTCTCCTAAAAATTTGGTGCGTCTTATGGAGAGGTGCGTCTTATGGAGCGAAAAATACGGTATTTTTCTGGCTGATTAGGAGAGCAGCATGCAAGCTCTGGAGTCAAACAAGCAAACTGCAGGATAGTCATGAATAATTTCTATTTAGTGGGTTGAACTCTGACGAAGTTCCTCTTTGAGAACTGTAGTCTTGAGAATCACAGGTGACTGTTTTCTTTTCTAGCTCTAAATAATCACTTGAAAATATTGTGCCTTCAGCTAGCATTTCCCATTTGATTTTAAATCATTTTCAACACAGCTGTTTGGCACAAGAATATTGTGTGTGGTCTGCTTCAATCTGGAATAATTAGGTGCAGTAATTTAAACCCCTACAGTTTGTTTCCTGCAAATGCAATTCCAATTAACTGCCTGCCATTTCAGTTCCATTCATAGACTGTGAGTAAGGAGAGTATATAAATGAAGCATGGAGCCACCTTCAGAGACCAACTACACTCTGCAGGCTGGGTAACTCAGGACATAGTCATTACCAATTAACATAGTTGACAATTATAAAGCCTTTAAAACATTCTGATATTTCTGAACAAAAGAACTGTTTAAGCTTCCAGACTGAATTTCTTACTGTGTAGAAGTCAATAACACAGATAGAAAATTCAATCTTGCATTACTAAATACTAAAAAGGATTAAAATTTTATGAATAGTATTGCTTAATTTCTGTCCATGAGATATACTAGCTCCATAAACTAGCTCCATAAATACAGATGCTGTCTCTCACCTCAAAATGTATTTTTGCCATGAGATATGAGAGAGCCCCTGAGTATGTACCAAAAAAACAAGTTTCTTTAGCAGTTTGTTTGATTTGAATGCTTTCCCCAAGATTTCTCCCAATCACTCAAAGTAGCTCATTATATAACACAACAAACATACTATACGTATATTATATATTATGTAACACAACAAAAAACATACAAAAACATAATGCATATTTATGAAGAAAAATCTGGATTAGTGGCAAGTAAAGAATCAAAGGAGATTTACTACCGTATGATCTAAATCAGTGGTTCTTAACCTTTGTTACTCAGATGCTTTTGAACTGCAGCTCACAGAAACCCCAGTCAGCACAGCTGGTGGTGAAGGCTTCTGGGAGTTGCAGTCCAAGACTCCTGAGTAACCCAAGGTTAAGAACCAGTGATCTAAATCACACATAATTACTGTGTAGTTTAGATCATTGGTCAGAGAAAAGGGGCAAATTGCCCCAAATGGGGTAAAAATGAAAATTTGGGGAGTAATGAGGATGAGACCCTAACCCCTTCCCTCCTTCTCCTCCTCCTCCTCTGCCCGGAGGGGGAGTCCCTGGCAGCCCAGTCGCCCCCTTCTCCAGCCTGGCTGCAACCAAACCACAGCAGATGATGGCCGGCGACAGGCCCCAGTGGAGGGCAAGGCCAGGGCGAGTGGCTGGAACGCCCCAACAAGGAGGTGCTTGAAGAGGTGGATCACGGTGGAGGGCGTGTCCATGATGTTGGCCTGGGCCAGCATCCTGGTGCTGGGCCGCCGCCCTATGCCCTGTGCCTGGAGGTGCCTGTTGGGCGGCAACAGCGCTCGCCTGACCATGCGGCTTCCTTCGGCAGTGCCTCCACGCTGGCTGGCCATGCCTGGAGGAGCCTCTTGCCCTCTGTGTGCCAGCTGTCACAGCTCTTCAATGGTGGGGCCCATGACTGCCCCAGCGAGCAGCCGCCAGAGCTGGTGCCAGAGCAGGAGGCATCGTCGGGTGCTCCTGATGGCTGCCCAGGAGCTGCCCGCTGGCGGAAAAAGAGAGCCACTC